ACACACACACACACACACACACACACACATCATATATAAATACACTGACCAAAGGTTTGGGGCACGGAAATGCAGTACAAAAACAGTAATGATCTGAAATATTATTACAATCTAAAAAACTGTTTTCTATTGCAACATATTTTAAAATGTAATTTATTCCTGTGATCCAAAGCTGAATTTTCAGCATAATTACTCCAGTCTTCAGTGTCACACGATCTTTCAGAAATCATTCTAAAATGCTGATTTGGTGCTCAAGAAATATTTCTTATTATTATCAATGTTAAAAACCGTTGTGCTGCTTAAAATATTTTGGTCAAAACTGTGATACATTTTTTCAAGATTAATGAAAAGTGCAGCGGGATCTGAAATTATAATAAATAATCCAATACCTATATGCATTCAGTAACTATACAGTACAATGCATCTGTTTTCCTGAATAACAATCTTTACAGATATATGCAGGGGAATGGGTGACTTGCATAAATGCATTAAACATAAAGAGCCAATTGAATGTATTAAATCTTTCTAATTCACGTCTAGAAGAGCCTTTGTGATGGCCAAATATGCAGTATTTTTGCAATACATCAGTGAATTACTGTGCTAAGAAGATTTTCTGTGCCTTTAGGTCTGAATAGTACTGCATCTCTGGTTGTTAAAGCATTGATAGAACTCTGTGGAGGCACTGGGATCTCAGTGAACATTAGTCTGGCCCACTCACATCAGTACTGCAGTGGAAAGTTAAACACCTCCTATATAACACCCCCCTCTGCAGCTGAACGCTACTGTGTACTCTCTTCCTCAACTCAATCCAGAGACTTACTGATGTACATCTGTAATTTACTGGCAGACAAAATGTGTAAAAAGTGTATCATTAGCTTGTCAATCACTTTTGTGCCTTGTCTACTGAAAAAAAAAGTTATATTAGTACCTAAAAGGAATAGTTCACCCAAAAATGAAAGTTGGCTGAAAATGTATTCACCCTCATGCCATTCAAGATGTAGATGAGTTTGTTTCTTCATCGGAACAGATTTGGAAAAATTGTACATTACATTACTTGCTCACCAATGGGTCCTCTGCAGTGAATGGGATTTATTTCTTACAAACATGGAGCTTTTCACTTAAATGATGGACTGGAGTCGTGTGGATTATTGTGATGTTTCGGCTGTTTGGACTCTCATTCTGACGGCACCCATTCACTGCAGAGGATCCATTGGTGAGCAAGTGATGTAATGTTACATTTCTCCAAATCTGTTCCGATGAAGAAAAACAAATCTACATCTTGAATGGCCTGAGAGTGAGTATATTTTCAGCAAATCTTCATTTTTGGGTGAACTATTCCTTTACAGTATAGTACTTGTATGCATCCTTAAAATAATAAAATGCAACTTTTAGGGGTAGAAAATGTACAAAGGTGTACCTTTGAGGGTACTGGCACAATGACAAGCTTTTGTACCTCTGAAGGCACTTTTTTTTCATGGTGTACTGCATTAACACAAGTAACATGCATAGTAGAGCTGTTAAGACAAGCTTAACTATTAATATTGCTCAAAAGTTTTACAATTTGATACATAACTAATCTGTTGTGCCATGGACATAAAAGTTACTTGCTAAAGTGCTATTACCTTTCTAAATTATCAGTCTTTCCCATCAAGTTTCCCCGATTTGAGTTAATTAAGTGTCCTTGAGCTGGGAAAAGTGCTATATATTGTAAGTAAAGCTTAAAATAAATTCATACTTTTATTCAGCAACAACCCATTTAATTGATCAAAAGTGACAGTAAACACATTTATAATGTCACAAAATATTCATATTTCAAATAAAGGCTTTTCTTTTGAATTTTCTATTCAAAGAATCCTGACAAAACACAGTTTCCACAATAATAATAAGAAATGTTAATAATAATAATGTTTCCCGAGCAGGAAATCGGCATATTAGGATGGTTTCTGAAGGATCATGTGACACTGAAGACTGGAGTAATGATACTGAAAACTTAGCTTAGCATCACAGGAATAAATTACATTTTAAAATATACAAATATGATACTATAGCATTTTTACTGAAATTTTGTAAATAAATGCAGCCTTGGCGAGCATGAGAGACTTCTTTCAATAAGATTTAAAAAATCTTATCGACGCAAACTTTTGAACTGTGGTAGTTTAATGTGTTTTGACTACAGAAGCACACAAAAGCATCCCTCAACACCAATCAAAATAGCAATACCCAAAATAGCACTTTTCAATGCACTCATCATGCTTTTAAGCTGCAATTTAAGGGTAAGAAAGGAAAGGCCTCAAAGAAGAAAATCCCTCAAGCATTAGAACAAGCTTTCAAAGTAATCTGGCCACTGGATACTAACTGTGCAAGAAGTTTGCTTGTCAAACTGTAAGTGCCTTTAATTGCAGTCTAGTTGTATTCAGCAAACACTGCTAAATGTAAGGATGGACAGAGGAGGTTCAGTTCACACATTTAGCAAGTCGTTGATGCTCCTCTTTCATATGAAGCCGATTATGATACTATTAGAGATCTTCATTGTGAAAATCGACCCTGTTTAAACAACCTTTATCGCTTTCAGCTCTAGTCATCAAAAATCTTGTCTAACTTGTCATTTTCCCCCATGTGTTTTTATTTTTATGTTGAAGCCAAATAATGTTTCCACTGAAAAGAGTCAAGAGCAAAATATGTTTCATGAACTGAAATGTCTCTGAAGGATTCACAGGTAAGAAAAGATAAATTCACACTAAGCCAGCTGTCTTTCTTCACTTATTTACACCGTGTACAGGCTTCAAGGTCACAAAAAAAGTAACTTTGTCATTAATATGCAGGTCTGTGTATATGACATTTATTTGGTTTCTTACCTCCACAGTGAGATCTTTGTAGAACTCCTTGCGACTTTTTAAATCAGTCATTTTTTCCATTAACTTTGATGCCTGAAAGAAAGAGAATTGAGTTCAGTGGGGAAAATGTAAACAGCAGAAACCACTGGGTGGCACTAGTGATCATCTTTTGATGGTCGCACCTGCTGTGTTCAGAATAGGAAGGTACATTCTTAAGATATTCAGATATTTTCTCAAAGTAGACTTCACAGCAAGATTAATTTTTCCGACATCTTTAAATAAAAAGTTTGAGAAAAAACATAAGAGTTCACAAACTTAAATTAGACTTCATGGTTTCTAAAAGTTTATAAAAGCACTTTTTATTTTGCCACTTGTATCCACCAAGGTCACTATTTCAAGAGAGTAATGTTTAAATAAAAAGCATCCCTGAGCTTGTGGAAAGTGCTGTATTAAAAAAAAAAAGAATAAATAAGAGAACCGATGAAGTGACATATGCAGACAGAATTTGCTGGCATTACCTGCTTTCAGATAACACCGCAAAAGCATGTTTCAAGGGTTAAAAATATTTATAGTTCACCCTAAAATGAAAATGTACTCACCCTCTCAGGCCATTCAAGATGTACATGAGTTTGTTTGTTTGCATTTGTCCAAATACAGTATTTGTTTCTTCATCAGAACAGATTTGGAGAAATTTAGCATTACTTGCTCACCAATGGATCCAGTGAATGGGTGCCGTCAGAATAAGAGTCCAAACAGCTGATAAAAACATCACAATAATCCACAAGTAATAACCAACACAACTCCAGTTAACATCTTTTGAAGTGAAAAGCTGCATGTTTATAATAAACAAAGCCATTGATAAGACATTTTTAACTTCAAACCACTGCTTCTAGCTAAAATATGAGTCCTCTATGCATACATACAGGTTATACTCTATACTACTTTGTCCAGTGAAAAAGTTGTCTTGTCTGAATCAGGAGAGAAATATGCACAGATCAAGCACCATTTACAAGCAAAAACAGTCCAAAACAGTTCCAAACAATGTTGGTAGACTTTGATGTAAGAGGACTACAGGGGATGGTCTTTTTCACTAGCTGAAGGAAGTGTTATTATGGATTATGAACTAGTATTTTCTCCAGAATTAGCGGTTTAAACTTAAAATGCCTAAATGATGGAGTTGTGTCTTACAAACACGCATCTTTTCACTTCACAAGATGTTAATTGATGGACTGGAGTCGTGTGGATTACTTGTGGATTATTGTGATGTTTTTATCAGCTGTTTGGACTCTCACTCTGATGGCACCCATTCACTGCAGAGGATCCATTTTTGAACAAGTGATGTAATCCTACATTTCTCCAAATCGGTTCTGATGAAGAAACAAATACTGTATTTGGACAAATAATCCAAACATAAAAATGTCTGAATGTCAATTATATAACAAAACAAAATATATAAAACAAGGTGCATTTTTAAAAATAAATAAATACAAAATAGCACAAGCACACTTTTCAAGCAAACATTTCACAAACAAAAGACTTGCTGCTGTAGCTTTCAAATTATAAAACAACACTGCTGTTAAAAATGTAAACAAAATGATGTGGACACTTCTTGGCCGTGAAATGTTAGTGGAGCATGTGCATAGTTAATGTGATAAACTAAACCTGTGGTGGTTACTCTGCTAGGACTCCTGTGTGAACTTGAGAAGAACTTAAATTCACCTTCAGACCATCAGATTAGTAAGGAATCTTAAGTTAGTTCTAATAAAAGCTTTTGCATAATTTGTTTCCAGATGCCACTTTATCTATACTTTGTGCAACGGAATTCAAACACTTTTAAGTGTATCTTAAGTGTTTACTTTTTGGGGCCCCTGTATTAAGGTTAGCAGCATCCCATGATTGTTCACACTGGATATTGATATCCAGCTCTGCATACAGTAAGTACAGTACAATTAATAGTTAACTTTGTGACACTACCACATAAGGGACATGTTTTTAACATGTTTTGATTTTTTTTTGTCTTACTGTTTGTACACCGAACTAATGACAAACATAACCTTCTTTAACAATTTTAAGTCAAAATAGCCAAGGAAAATCCCATATTTTCCACAACATTCATCTTTTTTTTAATAAATTCAGCATGTCTTGTTAACACAAATCAGTGTATTATTATTGTTTAACATTCATTTGTTTAAATAATACATCAAAATTATATGCATATTTAGTATCTGAGAGGCTGCGCAGTGCTGTATCTCTATAAAGCCAGAGATGGGATGATGCAGAGACACAGTGAAATAGAGTCCTACCTTTGCCAGTTTGACTTTATAACGGCATCAGAACATTAAGAACAGTCCACTGCCTGCCTCTGTCCACTTCACCTCTCTGATGGCAGGACACACACCTGTAGGGTTTTGTTTCTTTACGTGACATAAGAAACGCTGTTGCAAGATTGATGGCACTGGAATTAATTTTAAATAGAAGAAACCTTTTTGTCTTTATGGCAAAATAAACCACAACACCGAAGTTTTGTTATGACTCTGAATGTGCTTACTATGCCATAATGACCGGCTGTATTTTACTATGAATTAATCTGGTTTGTAGGCAACGCTGTGCACTTGGTGACGTCAGTTTAAAGTAACAGTAGCCTTTTTTTTTTTTTTTTTTGGGATGGAAAAACAAATCTGAAAAATTGCGGAGAGCGATCTGCTGCAATAACACAGCGCGAACCAAGTTGTCCCAAACATGAGAGCACTTAAATAAACGCGTATATCGTCCTGAAAGAAAGCCGGTTCTGTATATTAAGCGTGCGCGCATGCGTCATCCATACGCATAGCAGTTAATAACGTTTTATTGAACCGTTTTGTATTGCTTTGCACTGCATTGTGCTCTGCTGTATATTGCATTGTACCGCATTTCACTGAACTGAGATCAGAATGAGATGACAATTCTATTTTAATGGTCAGGATCAGTGTTGGGGAAAGTTACTTTTAAAAGTAATGCATTACAATATTGCGTTACTCCATGAAAAATAAATATTGAAATGTTACAATCGTAGCCTAATCAATAAATGTAACATTTATTTGTTGGTGATAAACTAAACAGGAGGAAATGTTATTGCTCAGAGGATGATTCATAGCTCATGAGACTTTTTAATGGGAGTTCTTATTCAGGTTTCAAAATATATGCGATTTTTGGGGGGGAAATAAAACAAACAAATCAGAAAAAATAATCTCATTGCTGTCTAGGAGAAGCAATTGAGACTTTTTAGACCTTTGAGATTTTATAGCTTAAGTTTTATTCACGGGATAGCAGACGAGAAAGGAGTTTTTACTAAAATCATCGGTGTTTGTGAATTGGACCACTGTGAGCCTTTACAGTAAGAATGCAGTATTATGTAGCCTATCGAAGTTTTTTAAATGGACTAGTTAGCAAACATTTAGCTACAATGTTGCACGTTTTCCTCTACATCAATCATTAATAACGTTTTATTGAACAGTTTTGTATTGCATTACTCTGCATTGTATTGCATCCCACTGAACTGTATTGCATTGTGTTGTAGCCTACTGCTTTGCTTTGCATTGCAATGCATTGTGTTGTATTATGTCCTGAACACCAAATGCCCAATAAATCAATCCAAAAAAGCAGTGGAAACATGGAATTCCTTTCATGTTGCAATTTATGTGAAGTGATTTTTCTCTGGCAGTGTTAATATCGATGTTATTAATGTGCATATGTAGACTACAGATACCTTTTTTGATTTTGTGGTAATAATGAATCCTTTAATGCTTCATGTAGGCTACCCTACACTAACATGTCTAACTGTTACCGTCACGATTCGTGACATTATTAATAACAATGCGAATGACTGGAGGAATGCGCAGCTTGTGCGCATGCGCGTCAGGACGCAAGACCCTCATCTGAAAAATCTGATGTCATCTTGCCGGCAATATTTTCCTCTCTGTCTGTATATTCAGTAGATTCATATTCCACTGCAATACAAGCAGCGCGTGTAAATGCTGAAGGGTGTAGATCGTGTGTGCCGTTCGCTCTGTGTGCATCATGCTGAGATGCAAAAAGCAAACAGCAGGTAATCTAGACGGCTTGTTTGCTGGATGAAGGTGGACGCTTAGGACACAACAGGTTATTGGCATTTATTTAAAGGAGAGAAACACGATGTCTGCGAGGGACAGACTGAAAGAGAAGATGATGAAAGAGAGCGTGACACTGCTGCCATGCTTTTATTTCGTGGAGGTAAGAAACCGTTTGATTTGACAGGTGACAACTTACGAGATCAGAGTGAGATGACAATTCCATTTTTTTTTTCTCAGGTGAAGTATTTAAATGTTACAGTCATAGCTGAATTAATGAATGGAACATTTCAATATTTGACTATTTATGTATGGTGATAAACTGAACCTGAGGAAATTGTATTGCTCATAGGATGCTCTTTCATAGCTCATGAGACTTGATGGAGTTCTCCTTTATTGAGGTTTCAAAGCATCAGCGTGATCTCAGATGCTCTGTTCAATTCCTTAGGAGAAATGAGGACTGCTGAGAGATTGTTTGAGTTCATATTGTAGGCTAATCATAAGAAAAAGACTACATTTTTTTATTGAATCTCATTGCTGTCTAGGAGGAATATAGTTATATAAGCTTTTAAAAAATGTTGTCACAAAAGTATCTGGTGTTGGCAAAGTAACAAAGTAGAATGTAAAATAAATGATAAACATTTTTATTTTTGAAATAATATATACAATTATATATATGCATAGATGTTCGCCCCAGGAGGTGCTGCTCTGCTCTCCATGCATCATGATGGGGTTTAGTGGAATATATGTAGGTCAGTGTGACATAAAGAATTGAGGCAGTGCAGCTTTCATACGCACATGCATACACCGACACACGGGATCTAGTACTTAGAAGGAAGATCTAAGCATGCACTTATACATTATGAAGGGCTGTGCTGAATTTGACATTTTCATTCATTTATTCATTCCTACATTTGCTGTTTTTCTGTGAGCTTTGTAAAATTGTTTGTCAAATAAAAAACAAAAAAAAGATCAGGATTACCATATTTAAGGGTTTTAAAGAGATACGAGGCATGTGCTCAGCAGAAACGGCTGGATTTTGTGCTTCTGAAGATATCACTGAAGTTTCATCAGGTCACAGAAACCTCCACATCTCCTCACGAGGGGCAATGCTCTTATCGTAACGGGTTCTTTTCCATCCGGACACCATCTGCACCTGCTGGGATGGTGCCTGTCCCACATAGATCTGAAAATAGCCACTAAGAAACGCTATCCTCCCCATTTATAGCCATCGATTATTAAGACCTCAGTGTCACCTCTTCTTCTCAATGGGATAATCTTGAAGTCAACATGAAATTGCATTCACAACCCATTTAACTTAAGTAACATGATGTATTTCTGACTGAAAATGGATATTCAGTTAGAAGAAATTAGCAGAACTTATTAAAAGTTAATATATTTCTTGTATTCAATTAAACTGGACAATCAAATGACCTTCAATACTCTACATATACACTGTAAAAATGATTTTTGAAGTTGTAAATAAAACAAAAATGACTGGAATAGGTTTCACAAGAAAATACTATTTCAATCTTTCTACTTCAAAACTCCACAATTCATTTAGTACTAATTCTTCATAATGACATTATTAACAATTTCTGAGTGAAAATGGTTTTTTTAGTGTATACCCTGATACCATCAATATACCATGGTACCACCACTTTACTTCTTTATATAAAGGCACAGGAAAATGTTCAGAAAAAATATTTCAAACAGAATTATATACAACAATCATCTGAAATGCATGTAAAACTTCTTATCTGCATTCAAATTAAATAAGCTTTGGTTGGGGTTCATCATGTCTTGTTATTCTTTTTGATGGTCATGCCGATGCTCGGCTACTCTTTAAACCTCTACTGTTTGTCCCAAGTGCCAGTGCTTTGGGAGAAAATATGGGTCAGTGGTATCAGTCGGCCACAGCGCAACTCTGCAGAATCAGCACAAAACAGCAGCTGCTTGCTGTATCCATCTGCATATCAAATGCCCGCAAACTGACCCGATCACTCTACTGTAAAAAAAAAAAACTTCAGCTGAGAGCTCTTAATTACTGGCTTACAGTGATAAACACGACAAAACAATCTGTCATAAAGAATACTAGATGATCTTGTAAACATATACACATCACTGAAAAAATAGAGTAGCATTTACTTGAAAAAAAGCTAAGTAACAATTTTCACTCAATAATTACTAGTACATTTTATAAGAGTCAATTTAAGAGGAAACTAGTACATGTCTTTTAGGAGTATAAATAGCACTTTAAATGACAGACATTCACACTCAAGTGTGCAATGTGTAGCTTAACAATTGCTTTATAAAATGGTTTCTTTTTTAATGCACATATAAAACATTTCAATGTAATGTTAAACATAAAAATAATCTGCATGGTTGATCTTAAGGGAATACTGGAACACTACCAAAAAAAAAAAAAAAAAAAAAAAAAGGTGTTAAGGCACACCAATTCACCCCCAGCTCAAATCACATCACTTTTTTTCCACCACTGTATATGAATTTCATAATATAATGAGAGATTTGTCTGAGTCCATCTATAGCTTTTCTGCAATTCTGTGAATCTATCACCATTGGTTTGTATTTCTAGCTCACAAGCCTTCAGATATCACCTCATAAACATGACCTGAACTCATTATATGGCTTTCTTATACCAAGGATTTTATTTATCTTGTAGGTACTGCCGTGTCTCTGTGTATTTTGTGATCATGACTGGCTGACTGTATGTATATTATCATAGGGACCTGTTATGTGGACAGTGTAATTCTTTGAAAATGTTTGTTGAAGAGATATGTTATGTTTTCGCCTCTCTAACAGCTTCCACTCCTGGTCTCATCTATGGTCAGCGTGTATTTTCTGGAGTGGACAGACATTTTCAAACCGGTCCGCTGGGGTTTCAGCTGTCACGACCGCAGTCTGAGTCTGCCTTATATCGAACCCTCGCATGAGGTTATTCCCTTCCTCATGCTCCTCAGCCTTGCTTTCGCAGCGCCAGCTATTACGGTCAGTCTAACCCTCTACCGCTACACACACATATACAAAGTGCAAGATATACTTCTGCTTTTGGATACTGTATATTGGAAAGGACACAAACTGTTGGCTTCTTGCTAATGTTACCTGCATATACTGAAGGTGAAAATGTGTCATGACTTGTGTGTATTCAGGCACTTATGATTCACCCAAGCTGGATGAGTACCTGAAGCAACAATCCTATCAAACAATTATTGCAATAATACAAGTCTTGTGGTGCCAGAA